TGATAACTGACGTGGACTATATAAACCCAAGTTAACGAACTCCTCACCCATTACCCATATCACTGAGAATATCATTAAGATGCATCTTAACTTACTTTTATGACAACAAAAACTAGACTGAAAAAACACTCGAGACTGACAAAGTGACATAAACTTTATAAACCAAAGTCAGCGATTTTCTTTTGTATATATCATTCAGGCATAACATTTTTCAAAGCAAAATTAATCGTTTATTTCATCAAATTGTCATAAAATTGCATACTCATTCTTTGTCAAATAGTGTCATCAATATATTGTATATTTTTCAGCATTCAATATTGCCATACATCGACTGTATATTTCGCTTTACTGTAAATAATCCCACATAAAAAAAAGTGTTTTTGGTGTATAAATTATGACTACATGAACTCGACCAGACTGACGAAACTGATATATTTTGTTAACACCCATTCCCATTGTTTTGTTTCACTGCATGTGCCATAATAAAGTGAAGGATATACTATAAAGAAATATTTTTTTGTTTTATTCCCTCGTATTTATTTCTTATGGAGAATATCATGAAGCATGATATCAACTTATGTAGAACGTGGTATCATGAGTGTATGTGCATGTACACGCACACACGCACACACACACAGATATGTATACACATATATGTATATATATATATATGTATATATATATATAATATATATATATATATATATATATATATTATATATATATATATATATATATAAACATACACAGACACACACACACACACACACACACACACACACACACACACATACATATATATATATATATATATATATATATATATATATATATATATATATATATATATATATATATATATATATAATATGCACATATATGTCTATATCTGTGTACGTCGTATCCTTCCTTTTAACAGCCACCACCATATGAGGGGTTCAGTTTAAACATGAACTAATTTTAGCAATTTTTGCAATCAGTTGTAATTAAATTTGGTATTGATGTCTTTACATACTAATTTCATTTCATGTGGCAATCACCGCCACCACTCTGGCCTTAATTCTAGGGGCGTCCCAAGGAACCACACAAATAATTGATTTTATTGGTAGCTAAGTGTGGTAGACAAGGAAGGACGTGGAGTGGCTATTAGTACAGGAGCGGAGGGGTTTCTGTGTGCATAAAAGGGCCCGTAAGTGAACCTTCATTTTTGGTTAGCGGGCCATATGACTCACTGTAACAGCGAAGCTAGACATTCTGAAACATGGCACTGAGAAAATCGCCATGATGTATGAAATCAACGACTTCAAAAAGACCGATAAATTTGAGGGTAGGGGAAACTAAACTGGAGCTAGCTCTGCAAGTTGAACATATTTTCAAACCTAACAGCTCTTTTTGAAGTCACTGATTCCGTACATCATGGCGATTTTCTCACTTAGCGCCATGTTTCAGAATGTCTAACCTCGCTGTTATGGTGAGTCACATGGCTCCCTAACCAGAAATGAAACTTAACTTAGGGGCCCTTTTTTCGCTGAGGGTTTTCTATAGAAACCCCTCAGCTAAAGGACTATGTGGTTTTCCTTGTTAATGTAGTAAACAAGAACTCATTTTGGTCAGCTCAAGAAAAAAAGTCCTGATTATATCAAACTTCATTTACAGATTGGTAAATGAAATCATAAGAAGAAATGACTATGAATACCAAGACAACACAAATTTGCTCTCAAAAATAAAAATTAATATGGTTTTACCTCAGTTGGTATTTGCCAGAGGGCTACGGGAACTCTATGAAGCAACTTCTACAAAAATGAACTCACCCCCATAAAGAAAAGAAAAGAAAAAAAAAAAAAAAAAAAAAAAAAAAAAAAAAAAAAAATATATATATATATATATATATATATATATATATATATATATATATATATATATATATATATATATATATAATAAGAACCTACACCTGAATATTGACTGGACTAGGGAATATACTTGTACAATGCGACATATGTATCAAAAGAATAACACAGACCTTTAACAAAAACTGTTTAGTTCACATGACACACCTGCTTTTCTCAATGCAGCGGCTGTTATCTACGACAAGCCCTCAGCTGCGTCCATTTCAGTCTCTCTCCTCGGCTCTTGGGTATTCCAAAATGGCTGGTACGGAATCGACAGGCTTATTCCTTCCCCATCCCGGTTCCCAGCCACAACAGTAACTTTCAAGCGACAATTGCAACTTCCCGCATCTGGGTAGAACGGGAACCGCCGACCCCACGGATGAGAGGTCGACACGTTCTTACTGTATTAGCCCAGAGGCTATATGTATGTATGCATATATGTATATATATATATGTATGTATATATATATAGAGAGAGAGAGAGAGAGTCTGAGAGTGGTAAGATGCATTCGAGGTCACGTCCTCTAACCGAGTCATGGTCCCGCTCGGACACTGCCTCCTTGGGGCCACCTCTCCAGGCCCTTTGCCAGGCCTACCCGCTGACCTTGTCTCCTACACTTACATCTTTAATCTTCGCCCGCACTGCCATCTCCAGTGCAACCAGATCGTGCATTTTGGACATTCACCACTCGATTCTTGAGATGCATCGAGCGTTTCGAACGCACTTGAAGGTGTCCCACAGAAGTACAGGGTCAGTCAGTGTTGAGCACTGCGAAGCGACCAAAAATTGCCTTGCGGTGTCCCGGAAAAGGAGGCTATTCTCGCAGCTGGCACCAGTTACCGAACTATGGGGACCAACGAACATCTTATAGCTAGCTCGATCGCAGCCAGTCACCACATAGGAGTCACCCAGAAAAATACGAATATCTCGCCGAGGACAGCTGCCCGACACAGATGCAGATTGGTATAAAACATCCAATCTGCATCTGCAGCAATAAGACATGATGCCAAAAGCAAGCTTCAGAGTCAACACCATTATACGGTGATAAACAGGAGTAACCTCTTGTGAAGAAATTCGGCTATTTTGTTTATTTTCTTAATTTGTTTCGCTCGCCTGAATACGTGGCGAGTGAAATGCTTCGTTCGAATTCGGAGGTCGAATCCGGGCTCGCTCGGAGACTTGGTTTCGGGTTGTGGGTACGGGGGGGACCTCACTCGACCCGAGCATCGCATTGAGGTGAGGTGTTTTTCCCCGTCCTATTTTTTTTATTTATTTATTTATTTTTTTTTTAGTTTTATTTTAATTTGTCATTATCCATGTACTCGGCCTAAGTGTTACATTCTTTAACAGAGGGTGATGAACCTACAGGTGCCAAGGGCCAGGCACAGAGGCTTCATATTTATTTATCATTGTTACGACTGAAGAGTTAGTCCACGTGGCCACTCTACGACGATTCTTTGGACCACACGAGACTGGACAAACACAATGTGGACCTTGTGGACATTATGAACATTATGTCGTGGACCATAATTTGGAAAGGGAGGTGTATTTTTTTATATATCCTATTGATGAAAAATGTTATTGTTATATGTATGTTATTGTTTGTTGTATGTATAATCATATTTATTTTTATGTGATTTTTTTTTTTTTTTTTTTTTTTTTTTTTTTTTGTTAATGGTTCGATTTGTTTATTTGATTCCTCAAAATTAGTAAATCTCTATGAATTCAAAAGATCTTGGCATTTACATCTCTACTACAGAGGGTTGAAATCTGCTAGAGCAGGCTATAGCCACTCCCTGAAGATGGTTACCATCGCTTCGGCCCGGCCAGTAATAGATATAGCCACCCACACTGACCATGCCGCTGCCAGGTTTTCTCAACCCCGGAGGCAACCACCTGAACTCTCAGCCGATTCAGTTCCTTCGACAGTAGTCGTAACTGATCATCCTGTCGTAAAGAGCAGATGTTCCAAGCCCGCACCCTGACGTCCCGCCTGAGGTTAAGTGTCAGGCTAGGGGTGTGTAAGGTTTACAGTCAAGGGGAAGCCCGGAAATCATCCAGCCCAGTGGTGGTTGGCGGATTACGGCCGAAAGAAAGGAGGGAGAGAGCCCCTTCACTTCCCTGCGAGGAGACCTATTCTCCCATACCCCAAGTTCAAATCCCTATAAGAAATGGGTCTGGCTATATGCGTTCTTGACTCGTGTATATAAAAACACTTAAGAAAATACATAGATCATAAACGTTCTATGCAATCCCCATCCTGAAGGGACGGGTCAACATCAAAAAGGGTATTCAAAGAGGGGACATCTCTGCCTGGTGCTGGGCAATTTATGTAACTCTTGGATGTAAACAAAAACTTATAACCAAATAAACACAGCCAGCAATTCTTGAACTGGCATGTAATATAGTCACACACCCTTGACTTGCTGCTCCAGCGACGCCACGGTATGGATAATCCAGGGGTACACTCAGAGACCACTCTCGTTCAGGTTTATTTGGAGGCTGTTGATATACAAATCAGCCACGGCATTGCGGCAGAAGTTATCTTAAACATTTAAAGACAATAATTAAAGGGCAGATTTTAGAACATAAGTATTAATTAAAATAAATAACTATGAAAAGAGTAAGAACATGTGCAAAACAGAATTAGAACAAATACCAAAAAACAGCATAAAATGGACCTTGTAAAAGATCATTGCAAACTTATACAACCTGAACTAAATAGCAGAAGAATCATGTACCAAGTAATATCACAACTCGATTCTCTCCAGTAGGCCTTAATTAGTTAAATATATGACATGAATAACTTAAAATAAATGGCAAGTTCTAAAGTACGTTGGAGGGGCGTTATTATGAAAATAATTTACCTTGAATGAATGAATATACAAAACGTGATAGACATTTAGTATGAAAAGTAGATTTCACATTTCAGATAAGGATCGACGATATCTGAAGTAACTGTCACCTGTCTTATTCGAAATATTCGAAGCCCAATGAGGAAATTCGAAAAACAATCGTTTAGTAATAGTTTTATCAACATATTGCACGGCATATATCAAGAACATGGATTGACAGTAGTACATTGTTACCGTGTTGTTTGCGTGGGCGGACATCATCTCCAGCGTGTTTGAGTGCCGCCCGCTGCATTACCCAAGTTCGAGACAGGATTCGGGACCAAGGAATCGACCCCCCCCCCCTTACCCTTATATCGGGGGCTTATGAGACGAAGATTGAGACCCAATACAGGGATCTCCCCTGCGTAGGGCCTCAGCCCTCGACTCAACTAATTTTGCATGGTCTTTTCCCTCTCTAACTTTTGTTTCCGTCTCTTCTCCATCCCCTTCTATTATCTACTTCCTAAGGTGTAAGAGCTGTGCTGATAGGATGAAAGGCTGACCTAGTGCCAGTCCTGAACGGCCTGCGGGAACTATGGGCACGGTACTCCCGACTAATCTAGCCCTTACCTTCAGTAGCGAAAGGAAGTGGACCGTTTAAGCCTTTTTATATAATCCAGGTTCCCCATGACCAGTAATGAAAATGTAATCCTTTTATTAGAGGCAATGAGGCTAGCCCCTTTATCAAATAGCCCCAACCCAAGATCTCCTTTGACCACGGCTCT